TCCCTCCCTCCCTCCCTCTCTTTCCTTCCTATGGGTCTCTGCCTCTCCTGATTCTTGAATTTGTCTTTGTCTCAGATTGTGCTCTTTCTGGATGGCCTCTGTCCCTCCCTTGCTTCATCTGTATCCCAGTATCTGTCCCTCTCTCCTCCTTCTGGGTCTCTTGTTTTCTCTGGGTGGGATAGCCTCCTTTTTTGCCTTTCTCTGTCCCTTTAGGGTTCTCTTCTTCAGGGTCTTGTCTCCTCCTCAGGGTCCTTGTCCCACACACAAAGCTTTCCTACTCCACAGGCTTGGCCCCCTCCTCTGGATCACTGTAGGTCTTATCTCCCCATTGCTCTTGCTGTGTGTGTGTGTCTGTCTGTCTGTCTGAGACAGTGTCCATATCTGTGTGTCTCTCTCTCCCTCTGCTTTCTTGAATCTTCCCAGGGTTGCTCTCGCTTCCTGTCCCTCTGTCCTGCCCTCAGCTCTCCAGCTGCTCCAAGTCCCATCCCTCCAATATGCTTTGTCTCTTGCCTCCCACTCCATCTGGACCTCTTGTCTCCACCCTCCACATTCAGCCTTCAGATCTTCACTCTGTAAACAATGGATTTGTCCCTTGAGAGGCATGGAGAACACACACACACACACACACACACACACACACACACACACACCATGTGCAGGTAAAATGTACCTTTTGGAGTGGTTCCTGCAGAGGGGCCACAAGGCTCAGCTGTAGTCTTGATCCATTTTCTCTCCCAATAGAGCTGCTTTCCCACAGCTCCCACAGAGCCACAGAGGGCATATCTGGACAACAGTCCTGGGTATTGACTGTTTCCTGCATGCTAATTCTCACACCCAGGTGACCTTTGATGTGAAGGTGGCTGTGGCATCTGTCTCACATCATGGAGCCCCAGTCTCTGCCCAGACTCAGCTTTACACTGAGCCTCACCCACATTAGTACAGCTCCGACCTTGACCCCATCCGGACTCCATCCCTAGCCAAGGTCTGGGTGTGCCCTTTCTGCCCAGTCTCCAGGGCTGTCGGGAAGCATCTCTTCCTCCCCAGGTTCAGGGAATCCCATCCTATGCCTGGAAGGCTTTGCTTCCAGTTCTTAGGACAAGAGTTCAGTCACCCTGTCCAGCAGCTGGTCTATCTACATCATCCATATCAGGTTCATAGCACCAATGTTTCCAACAACCTGGATGTCCCTTGCTTGGTTC